AAGCTTACAGGAAGGGAGTTTGCATTTTCCTGTTGTCATAGGGGCACAGCATTTTCTAGGTGGTCATAGTTGCACGTCCCGTCTGTTTTTCCAGATTTCCCATGCCTGCAGATACCAAGTGCATAGTATGTGCACAGGCTTGGTTTCCGTTTCCCTTGGGGTTTCTGTGACTGTATTCCTTTGGGCAGTTTCCCCCTGTCTTATTCCTATCCTCCCTATCACCAACAATGGAGCTCCCCCAGTTTTTTTTTTGTTACTATATCCTCACTATTGCTAGTGGAGTCCCTTGTTTGCTATTTCCTGTGGTATTTCTAGTTTGCAATATTGGTTTTTATCTTATCTTTGACTACACTTGTTTCCCCCCCTAAAGACTCCTGTCCCCTATGAGGTCATTTATATGTATTCCTTCCTGCGTAAAATTCCCGACTACCTGGACAAAATCTCCAATTCACCATTACTGTCTCCCAGGACAGCACCTCCCGCTTTTACCATTACTGTCCCCAGGACAGCACCTCCAGCTTCCCATTATTGTCTCCCAGGACAGCACCTCCAGCTTCACCATTAAATGCTCCCAGGACAGCAACCTCCAGCTTCACCATTACTGTCTCCCAGGGCAGCACCTCCAAAATTCATTACTGTCTCCCAGGACAGCACTAAACAGCCCCACATTTACTGACTACCAGGGCATCACCTCCAGCCTTACAGTTTCTGACTACATGGCCAGTATCAAGGCAGTACCATCCAGCCCAGATTTTTTATGTTCCCATTTGGTTGTAAAAGCTTCCAGGTTTTTTATGAAAGCAGCTTTGATGTTATCCTCTTTTAATACCCTGTGATTTTAGTTCCACAGATTTATCTCATTTGGGCATACCCAAAAACACTTCCCTGTTTTAATACTGCTTGTAGCTAGTTCTTTGGGTACTGCACAAGGGCGTGACACCAATTTCCACAAAAATGACAATTTATCCATGTGGAAGCCCGTTTGTTTGATTGACTGCAGACTACACAGAGCTTCATAATGATTTGAATGGTTGATTTACTGTAATTCTACTACAACCTCTTTAATACTCTATTAATAACCTCCTTAAATGAAGCTCTAGCTATTTGTATTTCTATTTCTAACTGTACTTGTATATTGGAAAAGCTTACCGTGTACGTTTCCTGATTTATATTTAATTTTTTGTGTTTTTTATAAGGGCTCCTACAACCCCATCCGTTACAGTCTGCTTTATTGTCCAACGAATCCGTTTGAAACCAGTCAAGGGTTCGAAACCCTCAAGGTTCGGACCAGTCTGAACTGATTTAGTGGGTTTACTTATTTAAAACATACTGGGCGTTTATTTGGGCTAACACATGAAGGATCTACTTGAAATTATCTACCCGAGTAATATGTGATTTGATTGATACAAAAGTATAACTTGCGTGTTGAAGAAACGGTGATTACTGGCAGCTCCTACAATGACAACGGTCCGAGCCTTAAAACCCTGTTTATCAATCGCTGTATCTAGCTTTTCTAGGTTTTTTTTTGTCTCCACAACAATAAATGCTATATTATCACTATAGTTGACTGGTGGAAATTTTGGAGGAAGGACGCTTTTTCTGTAGTAATAATTGCTTCTCGTTGTGTATATTGCAACTGCTGGTAACTACAGGTTACATGAAATTCACAGTATATGTCTGGTATTTCAAGAAAAAAGAAACTAATGAAAGTCACTCCACTCCACTAAGTACCATTATAATACTGGTTAGTTGCTACTACAATGTATTCTGCTATTCACTGGTATCACTAGATTATATGTGAATACACTAGCAGGCCAGGAAGATTATTAACCCTTTCAGGGTCCAAGGCCCAAATCTGGAGTCACGCACCAGTGTCCAAGAATTTAAAAAAAAAAAATTTGTTATTTTTTCTTATGAAATCGTAGAGAATCTTTTTGTGAAGGTAATAAAACAAACAATACGAAATTTGGTGGAAAATTGACGAAATTATGCTCTCGCGAATTTTGATGTGTCAGCGATATTTACGAATCGGCGATTTTGCCGACTTTGACTCCCATTTTAGGCCAATTACATTATTCCAGTCAACCAAATTCTTTGCTATTTCACTATATTACTTCTATTCTATCGATTGAGCACAAGAAATCGCCAAGTCAACCTGTTTCAACTACAAAAAAAAGTGATCGGAAATTGTTAATTTGGCCAATTTAACACAAAGTTCAAATATTCCAATTTCAAAATAGGGTCCAGAATGAACAATGTAGGCATTCCTGGCACTAAACTAACATTTCCTCTGTTCATTAGTTATGTTTTGAGGCTTTACAAATAAATTCCATTTTTATTTTTTATTCACATAATGAATTTTTATTCACACCAAAAAATAGAAGATTTACTGTTATGCAATACTGTAATAATTGTATAAATATCATCACCATATTTGTGAATGTATATTAGACCCACCAGCTGATGTGTATTAGACGTTTGAGATCGTTTGTTTACTCTTGAATATCGGCAAAAATTTAACATTTCTGCTACTTTGAACTCAGTTTCAAGCCATTTCCAGTGCTAAAACCAATCAAAATCATCTCTATTTCTGTAATATGTCTTCCATTCTATCAAATGAGACCAAGAAATCGCAAATACAACTATAAAAAACATACGAAAAAACACTGCAAAGTTGCTGTTTTAATCGAAAAATCATGATTTCATTTTTTTTCTCTCATTATACACAGTGTGCTGCAGGATCTGTTTTATGTGGTGCACACATACCACATAGATGTATTCTCTCATATCTAGGCCCAAATGTACCACTCACAGTTTATCAGAGTGAGCTGAGCTCATGGCGTAGATCTACGGTTTTGACCCTGAACGTAAAGCCGTAGATCTATGGGACGGACCCTGAAAGGGTTAAAACAGCTGACCTCTGTGGTAAGTTTCTGGCGACTTCTGGCACCTGCCTCTGTAGGCTTATCACTTCATTTACAAATTCTCCTGTTTTCAAATGACACTTTAGCCTTTATCATCTATATACTAGGGAGCCACTGTAGTATACACTATACACTATGTATACACAATGTTATCAGGGAGACTTTCTTTCCTCTGACAAAGAAAAGTTCTATTATTATTATTTTGCACACGGAACACAGGCCTAAGATTCCCCTCTGGCAGTAAACTCTTCTAGGTAGTGCACACTAATTCTCCTTTTTTGACCTAAAATCTGGAACACCCTACCTGAAAACTCTAGAACTGCAGACACATTCATCACTTTGAAAACTACAGTTAGAAAACATCTTATCTCCCTGATCCACCCCAACAACTAACTACATGATAACCACCTGGTGGTTCACAGTTACACTCACTCACCCACTGACTATAAACCCAGAAATACTAATCTTAATCTTAAAATAATAAATAATAATATAGACACTTTGTATTGTGGCAAAACAAAAGTATTCACATTGCTAAACTCACAAATTATGATGTATGGATTTAATGTTAAGAATTAATCTAAGTCTGCTCGAAATGTCTAACCATGCTAGGTGTCCTAGTGGCCCCCTCTGTAATTAGTATTTTATAACATGTAAACCACACAATACCCAAAACCTGTAAACCCCACATTGTAACCTTTATAGAGAATAAACTTAAATTGAATTAGCATCATATTGAAGGAGTATCTTGTCCTGTTTCCAAACTCTCCTCCTCCCTGTCTTTCATAAGCCAACAAGAGTCTTCAATAAAGTTATGTAATGTTTATATTTATTTATATTTGTTTATCGTTGTTTTCTGTATGTAAAACTATTTATTCTTTAGAACTGAATTTTTTTGTGAATATTTTTGGATGTCTCGAATGGATTAATTGGATTTACATTATTTCTTATGGGAAATATTGCTTTGGCTTTCGAAGAATTTGAGTTTCGGCCAAGCTTCTGGAACAGATTACAGCCAAAACTCGAGGTTCCACTGTATAGATTTTTTTTTTCAACACGTTGGCTGTCTCCCACCGAGGCAGGGTGACCCAAAAAAAAAGAAAAACACTTTCACCATCATTCACACATAATCACTGTCTTTGCAGAGGCACCTAGATATGACAATTCAGATGTCACTCCAAACAGCCAGTATCCTAAATCCCTCCTTTAAAATACAGGCATTGTATTTCCCACCTCCAGGACTCAAGTCTGGCTAACTGATTTTCCTGAATCCCTTCATAAAATATTACCCTGCTTACACTCCAATAGCTCATCAAGTCCCAAAAACCATTTGTCTCAATTCATTCCTATCTTACAAGCTCACATATGCCCACTGTATGTCCAAGCCCCTTGCACACCAAACCTCTTTCATCGCCTCTTTCCATCCTTTCCTAGGATGACCCTTACCCCTCCTCCCCTCCATTACAGCTTTATACCCACCCTCCAAGTCATCCTAGTTTGCTCCATCCTCTGTAAATGACCAAACCACCTCAACAACCCCTCCTCAGCCCTCTGAATAATACTTTTATTTACTCCACACATCCTAATTTCCACACTACAAATTCTCTGCATAATATTTACACTACGCATTGCCCTTAGACATGACATCTCCACTGCTTCTGGGCTCCTCCTTGCTGCAGCATTTACAACCCATGCTTTACACCCTTATAAGAGTGTTGGTACCACTATGCTCTTGTACATTCCCTTCTTTACCTCCATGGATAACATTCCTTGTTTCCACAGATACCTCAATACACCACCCACCATTTTTCTTTCATCAATTCTATGGTTTACCTCGTCCTTCTAAATCCATCCACTGACAAGTTTTCTCCCATATATCTGAACACATTCACTTATTCCATACTCCCTCCCTCCAATGTGATATCCAGTTTTTCCTTACCTAACTCATTTGACACCCGTCATCACCCTACTCTGATCTGTGTTTACTTTCAGCTGTCATCCTTTACACACCCTCCCAAACTCATCCACCAACCTCTGCTAGGTATTATATTTTAATATTAATTTTTTTATTTGCAGAAATTTGAATGTGACCAGTGTCATGTTGTCTTCTCCCGAATGAACAAACTCATGAAGCACCGTCAGCGTGCCCATCAGGAAGCTCTCTCCTGTAATCAGTGCAATTCTCAGTTCACACACATAAATAGCTACAGGTTGCACATGCGTCTTCATAGTGGTGAAAAACCATACGAGTGTAACGAATGTGGAGCCAGGTTTGTTCAGAGCAGTCATCTCAATATCCATAAACGATCACATACTGGTGAAAAGCCTTATCAGTGTGATGTATGTAAACAATCTTTCAAGCAAATATCGCATCTTAGAACACATGAAAGAATTCATACACAGATGAAACCATATACTTGTCCTATGTGTGGCGCTGCATTTATACAGAAAAGTAGTTTAAACCGACATAGTAGGATTCATACGGGCGAAAAACCTTATGTATGTGTAATATGCCATGCAGCATTTTGTGTTAAAAATAATCTTACTCGTCATATGATAACTCATACCGGTGAGCAGCCATATAAATGTGATCTTTGTCCAGCTTCTTTTGGTCAGGCTATAGACTTAAAAAGACATAAGATTGCTCATACTGGAGTGAAACCATTTCAGTGTGATATATGTGATGCTTCATTTAGCCGTAAGAACAACTTAAAGTGGCACAAATATAGCCATACGGGTGAAACACCTTTTAAGTGTGATGAATGCATGGCTGAGTATACACGTCCACGAGACCTGAAAAAACACAAATTAAGCCATGGTCCACTTGTACCTCACATATGCGACATATGTCATCAACGGTTTCCTCAGCCTAGTGGTCTTAAACGTCACATGATGAATCATACAGGTGAAAAGCCTTTTGTTTGTGAAAAATGCTTTGCTACATTCGTTGATAAAAGTGCCCTAAAAAGACATATGTATAAGCATGTTGGCGTGAAACCTTTTGCTTGCAAGAGGTGTGACACAACATTTCGAGAGTACCGCAGCCTTAAAAGACATTGTATGTCAGTTCATGGAGAAGAACCTGAGGATAGACAAACCCACATGCAGTTGCAGTCACAACAACAGCAGCAGCAGCAGCAGCAGCAGCAACAGCAACAACCAGTACAACAGCAGCCCCAACAGCAACAACACATTACAACAATACCTGCTGGAACTATCATCTCTACCGCTCAAGATACCTCGCATCTTGCTCAGTTCACTCAGGCACTTTCACAGCAAAATTCCCAGCAGATGGCTCAAGTGCCAACATTAATGCTCTCGGGTGGACCAGGGCAGCCGGCCAGAGCTGCAAGGCCTGCCAACAACTGCCAGAATCACACTGCTCATGTCCTTACTTTTGGAGGTAACAATCAGTGGCAGTCATGGTGCTTCTGTGAGACTCCAGCCATTCCTGAAGCACAGCAACAGGTGATCGTAGCTACTACTGCAGCTCCTGTCAGCCTTCCTGTAACCACCCATCAGCAGCAGGTGCAACAAGCACAGCAGCCACAGCAACAGCAACAACAGCAGCAGCAGCAACAACAACAACAACAACAACAGCAACAACAACAACAACAACAACAACAACAGCAGGCAGCACCATTTACAATGTCTGTCAAGACTCCTACATTGCCAACTCATATACAGCTGCAGTTTCCTTTTGGAGACGCTCAAGCTACAACAAGTCACACTCAGTGGATAGCTGGTTGGGGCAAGTAGCAATGTATGTAGGTTCGAGTTGCTCATTATCTTGTTTGAAGAACTGGAGTGCAAAAAACTCTAGATAGGTAAGAATTTAATGTTCTACAAGCAGTTTATAATGAGAGATATTTGGGGAAACTTCCGAAGTATTAAAATTTCATTTTTAAATATAAATAATAATGTATATAAAAACAAATTTACTTTTCTTTCATTATTCAATTTTAGTGCTAATTTAAATTCATTTTAGAGATATTCTACTTTTGGAATTTATAAACTTGCTGTGTACTTTCACAAACTGCATAGTATATGAACTGAAAATTGAGCAATGATTAATATATCTGTTTTTTGTAACATTTGTTCCACATCAGCATTTTCATGCAATGGCTATTTGCCAACACAAGTGACCCCAAGATGGAAAACATTCAACATCTCTCTTCCCCCTCACACTCACTCACTCATGCACATACACACAAAAAAGAAGAAGGAGAAGGAGGAATACCTTCAGGTATTATACTGAGCATATCACCTGAGATGCACAACAACTAAATAACTACTGCTGCAAATGCATGTCTGGCAAATATATGAATAGGTTTTATATGTGTAAATAAGGAGTCATTCATGATATTGTATACCATGTATGTCTGTATTGGAATATGCTGTATCAGTATGGAATCCACACCTGGTCAGACATATCAAGAAAATGAAGAAAGTGCAAAAGTTTGTGACAAGACTGGTTCCAGAGCTAAGGGGTATCTTGTGAGAAGAGGTTAAGGGAACTCAACTTTATGGTACTGGAGGACATGAGGACTGGGGGTGAGAAGTTATGATAACATTCAAAATACTGAGAGGAATTGACAAGTGAATAGGGCCAGATTGTTCGAAAGATGGGAGATGGGAACACAGGGGCACTGCTAGAAGTTGAACGCACAGATGAGTCATAGGGTTTTTAGGAAATATGTCTTCAGCCTTAGAGTTGTCAGGAAGTGGAATAATCTGGAGAGTGAAGTAATAGAGGCAGGATCCATACATAGCTTTAAAAAGAGGTACGATAAGGCTCTTGGAGCAGGGAGAGCATGCACTGAGACGGCCAGGAGCTGTGACTCGACCCCTGCAATCACATTTAGGTGAGCGCACACATGCTCTCTTGAGTGAGTGAGTTCGAGTGTGATTTACCGGAGATGTCCCAGCCCAGGTCTTTTGCACGAGGTGACCTGGCATTGGCTCCTCGTTGGGGAAGCGTTGCTACATCATCTGTTCTTGACATTTTGCACAGAAGAATTGCCTTGGGAAGAGGAGTCCCTCTGTCTTTTCGAACACTTGTTGTTCCCGATGTTATTTTACACTGGTGATGGCCATCTCAGCATCCATGGTCAAGTCTTGCATTAGTGTGGGTTGTGAAGTGACAAGGTGGATGGCATCACACAATAAAGGATAACATTTCATCATGGGCAGGCAGAGGTGGCAGTTCCTTGGCATGAACATCTTCCCTGTGTAGAAGAAAAAAGCAGCTATTCTAAAAGCACAAAAATGTAGGCTCTACTGGAGTTTTTATTATCATTATTATTATTATGAGGCATTGGGTGACATGTGATGATTGGCAGCAGTGTCCTCAGGTCCTCAATGGTCAGGTACACTAGGTGCACTAGTGCACTGCCTTGTCATCCTGGACCTCTCCCACTTCCTCCATACACTCTCTCCAATCTGTTATCTAATCTTTCATTGCCTAAGTTGTAGTCAGTTTAGAATGTATTACAGTGGATCTCCGAGTTTTCTGAGCCTTGTGCTTCGTGAATTTCGACTTTTGGCAACTTTTTTCATCAGAATAAAGCCTCGCAGTTCGTGATTTGCCTCGTGATTTGTCCGTCGTACGAAACGTGTCCGTGCGGCTGGGAGCGGCAATGCATACACAAAGGCTCCCACACACCATTCAGGAATCAGTGTGGCATTGTCTGTGGACGAATGACCACAAGGTACTTCCCCACACAAACCAGCCAGGCTACTTACCCCCACACAAACACGATTTGATTTGAGTGGGACTTGCGCATGAGTGAATAGAATTATCAAAGCTTATTGTTTGGGTAGCATTGAAAATTGGGCTGGACAAGTATTCTGTTAGTGGGATGGTTTGTGAAGGACCTACCCAGTATGAGTAAACAGGTCTGCTGCAGTGTTCCTGCTTTCTTATGTTCTTATGTACACCAGCCAGGGTACTTCCCCACACAAACCAGCCAGGGTACTTCCCCACACCATCCAGGATACTTCCCCACATTAACCAGCCAGGGGACTTCCCCACACACACGATTTGATTTGACAAGGACTTGCGCATGAGTGAATAGAAGAGAGGGAGACTACTTCCCTTTAAAAGTAGGTCTTAGGGATGTGTAATGTCACCATGGTTGTTTAATATATTTATAGATGGAATTGTAAAAGAAGTAAATGCTAGGGTGTTTGGGAGAGGGGTGGGATTAAATTATGGGGAATCAAATACAAAATGGGAATTGACATGGTTGCTTTTTGCTGATGATACTGTGCTTATGGGAGATTCTAAAGAAAAATTGCAAAGGTTAGTGGATGAGTTTGGGAGTGTGTGTAAATGTAGAAAGTTGAAAGTGAACATAGAAAAGAGTAAGGTGATGAGGGTATTAAATGATTTAGATAAAGAAAAATTGTATATCAAATTGGGGAGGAGTATGGAAGAAGTGAATGTTTTCAGATACAGTGGACCCCCGGTTAACGATTTTAATCCGTGCAAGAGGGCTCATCGTTATGCGAAATAATCGTTATGCGAATGAATTTTCCCCATAAGAAATAATGGAAATCAAATTAATCCGTGCAAGACGCCCAAAAGTATGAAAAAAATTTTTTTTTACCACATGAAATGTTAATTTTAATACACACAAACTGAAAAAGGCATGCACAATTAAATGACACTTACTTTTATTGAAGATCTGGTGATGATTGATGGGATGGGAGGAGGGGAGAGCATTATCTTCTTACTGTTTAGAAGGGGAATCCCCTTCCATTACGACTTGAGGTAGCAAGTCCTTTTCCGGGGTTACTTCCCTTCTTCTTTTAATGCCACTAGGACCAGCTTGAGAGTCACTGGACCTCTGTCGCACAACAAATCTGTCCATAGAGCTCTGTACCTCCCGTTCCTTTACGATTTGTCTAAAATGGGCCACAACATTGTCATTGAAATAGTCACCAGCACGGCTTGCAACAGCTGTGTCAGGGTGATTTTCATCTTTAAAGGTTTGCAGTTCAACCCACTGTGCACACATTTCCTTAATCTTTGAAGTAGGCACAATGGATTCCACAACTGGCATAGGCTTCTCAGGGTTAGCCCCAAACCCTTCAAAATCTTTCTTAATTTCCATACTAATTCTCACCCTTTTTACCACAGGGTTGGCACTAGAAGCTTTCTTGGGGCCCATGGTCACTTATTTTCCAGAAACAGCACCGAAAACACTGTAATAATACGAAATATTCCGAGTGTATGCTTGGATGTTACCGCGGAGGCTGGCTGGTAAACAATGGGACGGCCGGCACATGTGAGGCTGGCTGAGGGCACATTGGACGCGTCTCGGACGAAAATCGGTAAGCGGGTTTTTAATCGGTATGCGCGGCAAAAATTTTGCGATAAAAGTAATCGGTATGCGGAAAAATCGCTATGTGATGCCATCGTTATGCGGGGGTCCACTGTACTTGGAAGTTGACGTGTCGGCGGATGGATTTATGAAGGGTGAGGTTAATCATAGAATTGATGAGGGAAAAAAGGTGAGTGGTGCATTGAGGTATGTGTTTAGACAAAAAACGTTATCTATGGAGGCAAAGAAGGGAATGTATGAAAGTACAGTAGTACCAACACTCTTATATGGGTGTGATGCTTGGGTTGTGAATGCAGCAGCGAGGAGACAGTTGGAGGCAGTGGAGATGTCCTGTCTAAGGGCAATGTGTGGTGTAAATATTATGCAGAAAATTTGGAGTGTGGAAATTAGGAGAAGGTGTGGAATTAATAAAAGTATTAGTCAGAGGGCTGAAGAGGGGTTGTTGAGGTGGTTTGGTCATTTGGAGAGAATGGATCAAAGTAGAATGACATGGAGAGCATTTAAATTTGTAAGGGAAGGAAGGCGGGGTAGGGGTCGTCCTCGAAAAGGTTGGAACGAAGGGGTAAGAGAGGTTTTGTGGGCGAGGGGCTTAGACTTCCAGCAGGCGTGCATGAGCGTGTTTGATAGGAGTGAATGGAGACGAATGGTATTTGGGACCTGACGATCTGTTGGAATGTGAGCAGGGTAATATTTAGTGAAGGGATTCATGGAAACCAGTTATTTTTATATAGCCGGACTTGAGTCCTGGAAATGGGAAGTACAATGCCTCCACTCTAAAGGAGGGGTTCAGGATATTGACAGTATTACCTGGAGTTTACCTGGAGAGAGTTCCGGGGGTCAACGCCCCCGCGGCCCGGTCTGTGACCAGGCCTCCTGGTGGATCAGAGCCTGATCAACCAGGCTGTTGCTGCTGGCTGAACGCAAACCAACGTACGAGCCACAGCCCGGCTGATCAGGAACTGACTTTAGGTGCTTGTCCAGTGCCAGCTTGAAGACTGCCAGGGGTCTGTTGGTAATCCCCCATATGTGTGCTGGGAGGCAGTTGAACAGTCTCGGGCCCCTGACACTTATTGTATGGTCTCTTAACGTGCTAGTGACACCCCTGCTTTTCATTGGGGGGATGGTGCATCGTCTGCCAAATCTTTTGCTTTCGTAGTGAGTGATCTTCGTGTGCAAGTTCAGTACTAGTCCCTCTAGGATTTTCCAGGTGTATATAATCATGTATCTCTCCCTCCTGCGTTCCAGGGAATACAGGTTTAGGAACCTCAAGCGCTCCCAGTAATTGAGATGTTTTATCTCCGTTATGCGCGCCGTGAAAGTTCTCTGTACATTTTCTAGGTCGGCAATTTCACCTGCCTTGAAAGGTGCAGTTAGTGTGCAGCAATATTCCAGCCTAGATAGAACAAGTGACCTGAAGAGTGTCATCATGGGCTTGGCCTCCCTAGTTTTGAAGGTTCTCATTATCCATCCTGTCATTTTTCTAGCAGATGCGATTGATACAATGTTATGGTCCTGAAGGGATATGTTGTGTATCTTTATACGTATATGCTTTTAAACTGTTGTGTTCTGAGCACCTCTGCAAAAACAGTGATTATGTGTGAGTGAGATGAAAGTGTTGAATGATGATGAAAATATTTTCTTTTTGGGGATTTTCTTTATTTTTGGGTCACCCTGCCTCGGTGGGAGACGGCCGACTTGTTAAAAAAAAAAAACATAAGAATGGAGGGACACTGCAGAAGGCTGGACTTTTGTTGCTTACACTTCTTGATATAAATCCCAGTACAGTGGTCCCTCAATAATCGTCCGGCCTGAAAGTCGTCCAATTCGGAAATAGTCCTGTTTTTTCGTCAAAATATTGGCTCGCAAATGGTCCGGTAACTCGCTAATAGTCCTTCGTCCTGGACGCATACTCACGCTCTGAGCCGCCTCGGCCTTTCCTTCCCAGCCAGTGTGCCATTGTTTACCAGTGAGCGATGGTCCCCTCACGTGCTCCAGCAAAATATTTCATATTCCATTTATTTTAGTGCTTGCAAGTTATTTAAGTGCTAAATAAGCTACCATGGCTCCAAAGAAAGCTCCTAGTGCCAAGCCTTTGGTAAAGGTGAGAAATATGACTGAATTTAAGGAAAGCATCTTTGAACAATATGAAAGTGGCGTACATGTGGCCAAACTGGCCAGGATGTATAACAAACCCCATACAACCATATCTTCCATCGTGGCAAAGAAAAAGGAAATCAAGGAAGCTGTTGTTGCTTGGAGAAAATTGTGGCCAGATTGTGTCCACAAGAGGGATTTTGAAGGGTTTGTGGCTGACCCTGATGAGCCTATGTCAGTTGTGAAATCATTGTGGCACTGGGGAGTTCCAAGGGGTTGGATGTGAGTTTGGAGGATGTGGAAGAGTTGGGGGAGGACCACAACGAAGAGCTAACCACTGATGAGCTGCAAGAGCTTCAGCAGGAACAGCAACAGATCGTAGCTCAGAATCTTGCTGCAGAGGAGGAAGAAGAGATGGAAGAAGGTGCCTTCTTCAGAAATTAATGAGATTTTTTAAATGTGGGGTAGGATGGAAAGATTTATGGAAAAACATCACCCTGAGAAGGATGTTGCAAGCCATATCGGCAACTTGTACAGTGACAGAGTCTTGGCCCATTTTAGGGAAGTTTTAAAGAGATACCAGAAACAGAGCTCTCTGGACAGTTTTTTTGCGAGACAGGACTCCAGTGACTCTCAAGGTGGTCCTAGTGGCATTAAGAAACAGAGAAAAGAAGTAACCCCAAAAAAGCAATTGGTACCCGAGGTGTTGATGGAAAGGGATTCCCCTTCCAAACAGTAAATCGTCCAATCTGTCTCCTTCTCCAGTCTTCCATACACAAAGAAGAATCGCCAATAAAGGTAAGTGTTATTCTGTTAATGTTTAATTCATCATGTGCCACTGTATTGTTTATGTACTACATCTATATTTCATGTAAAAAATTTTTTTGTTTTAATACTTCTGGGTGTCAGGAACGGATTAATTGAATTTACAGTATTTCTTATGGGGAAAATTGATTCGTAAATCGTCCATTTCGATAATAGTCCCACTTCCAGGAACGGATTATGGATGATTATTGTGGGACCACTACTCTATTTGCCATATTACGTATGCTTAGGCATTGCTCTCTTGGTTTAGCCCTTAAACGGTCCAAACGTATATATACGTTTTTACTGCTAGTGCCCCAAACGTATACATGTATATACGTTTTATTGGTCATACAATTATCATTGCCACGATAAGCCTGAGTCGCCTAGACATGAGAGAATGGGTGTGCGCACTCACTGTGTGCCATATTAAAATAATTGGGTATGCCTGGGTACTATATGCTCTTTTTTCCTATTAAAAACAAAAGATTTTTTTTTTCTTAAAAAAGTTGCGGCACTACGGTAGGTAACGTATATATACGTTTGGACCGTTTACGGGTTAAGGTTGCTGCTTACCATAACCCCCAAATCCTTTTCGCAGTCTGTATGGCTAAATTCAACATTATTAAGCTGGTAGTTGCAAGGGTTATGAACATTTCCGAGCTTTAGAACTTTAGGTATATCTACATTGAGCTGCATCTACCACTTTTCTGACCACGAATTGAGTTTGTCTAAATCCTCTTGAAGTTCCGAGACATCAGTGTCTGAATTGATTATCCTACCTATCTTTGTGTCATCAACGAATTTGCTTGTAACACTAGTAATTCCCTTGTCAAGGTCATTTATATACAGTGGACCCCCGGTTAACGATATTTTTTCACTCCAGAAGTATGTTCAGGTGCCAGTACTGACCGAATTTGTTCCCATAAGGAATATTGTGAAGTAGATTAGTCCATTTCAGACCCCCAAACATACACGTACAAACGCACTTACATAATTGGTCGCATTCGGAGGTGATCGTTATGCGGGGGTCCACTGTATTTTATAAACAACAACGGGCCTAAAATCGATCCCTGTGGAACGCCACTTGATACAGATCCCCACTCAGATTTAGCCCCATTTATACACACACTGCTTCCTATTGGTGAGCCATGACTCGATCCATGACAGTACTTTTTCCCCAGTGCCTGAGCAGCCACTTTCTTTAACAGTCTCTGATGTGGTACTCTATCAGAAGCCTTACTAAAATCCAAATAAACAATATCGAATTCTTTATCATGATCAGCGGCCTCAAAAACCTTACTGAAGAAAGTTAATAAATTTGTTAGGCATGAACCGCCCCTGGTGAATCCATGTTGAGTATCATTAATCAAATTATGCCTATCGAGATGGCTTCTTATATTATCAGCTATAATTGACTCTAGTAATTTGCCTACAATTGAGGTTAGGCTTATTGGGCGGTAATTTGACAGTAACCACTTGTCCCATGCTTTAAAAATAGGAATTACATTAGCCATCTTCCACATATCAGACACTACACCAGTTTGAAGAGATAAATTAAAAATATTAGTTAATGGTTCACAGAGTTCCATTATGCATTCCTTAAGAACCCTTGAAAAAAAGCTCATCAGGACTGGGCGATTTATTTTGCTTCAAACAGCCTATCTGTTTGATAACCATTTTGCTAGTGACTGTGATATTACATAATTTATCCTCTTCAGGCCCACTAAAAAACCTAATTATTGGGTTATTATTAGTGCCTTCCTGAGTGAAAACTGAGAAAAAATAATTATTAAAAATAGAGCACATTTCATTCTCCTTGTCAGTAAGATATCCATAGTTATTTTTAAGGGAACCTATCTTATCTTTAACTTTAGTTCTATACACCTGGTAAAAACTTTTTGGGTTAGCTTTCAAATCCCTAGCAACTTTAATTTCGTATTCCCGTTTAGCTTTTCTTATCCCCTTGTATACTGATTCATAAGATGACCCTCAGCTCTTTTGATATGCCTATAAATTCCTTTCTTCTGCCCTAAAAGATATTTGAGCCTATTATTCATCCATTTTGGGTCATTTCTATTCGATCTAATTTCTTTATATGGGATAAATGTTCTTTGGGCAGCATGCATAGTGTTCAGAAAACTGTCATATTGACGGTTCTCCTCATTACCCCAGTCCACAGATAATAAGTGTTCTCTAAGCCCATTGTAATCTTCTAAGCGAAAATCTGGGGCCGTTACTGAATTATCTCTACTATCATATTTCCATTCAATGCTGAAGGTAATTGATTTGTGGTCGCTTGTGCCGAGTTCCTCTGTAATTTCTAAATCATTAACAAGGTTTTCTTGTTTGCCAGAACCAAGTCAAGCAGGTTATTTCCCCTGTAGGTTCTGTCAAAAACTGCTTCAAAAAAACAATCCTGAACTACTTCTAAGAAGTCGTTAGATTCTAAATTCCCAGGCAGAAATCTCCTAGAATTACTACGTTTTCGTGCATTGTGGCCTTAACAGTTTCCTCCCATAGTAGTCTCCCTTGGTTCCTATTGAAGTTTGGGGACGGTATATCTCACCTAAAATCAATTTTTCATGCCCCTCTGAAAATTCTATCTAGACAGACTCTGTATGTGTTATTTCAGACTTTATAAGAGCATAAGAATGGAGGAACACTACAAAAGCCCACTGGCCCATACAAGGCAGGTCCTTATCAAAACCACCCCTACCCTAAACTACTCAAGAATTTACTCCCGTACCCACGATACCAATCAAACTCAGTCCCTCCCACTCATATATTTATCCAATCTCTTTATAAAGCTGCCCAAGGTCCTAACCTCGATCATCTTACTCAGAAGACTGTTCCACACATCCACAACTTTGTTTGAAAACAAGTACTTACCTATGTCCTTTCTAAATCTAAATTTATCTAACTTAAATCCATTGTTTCCGGTTCTTACCTTGTTCGACACCCTCAGTACTTTATTAATATCACCTTTGTTTATCCCCATCATCCATTTATACACCTCGACGATATCTCCCCTCATTCTACGTCTCTCCAGAGAGTGGAGATTCAAGGCTCTTAAGTCCATCTTCATACAGGAGATTCCTTATACAGTAAATCATTTTAGTCGTTCTTCTCTGTATGTTCTCCAATGAGTCTATATCCATCCTGTAGTAAGGAGACGAAAACTGAGTGGCATAATCTAAATGAGTCCTCACTAGTGATGTATAGAGCTGTAAAATACCTTTTGGACTTTTGTTACTTACACTTCTTGAAATAAATCCTTGTAATCAGTTAGCCTTGTTGCGCACACTTAGGCACTGCTGTCTTTGCTTTAGATTTCTGCTTACCGTGACTCCCAAGTCTTTTTCACATTCTGTATGATCAAGCTTTACTTCACCTAGTTTATAGGTTCGAGGGTTATTGTCATTACCAAGGACTAGTACCTTACACTTATCCACATTGAACTTCATCTGCCATTTTCCAGTGATCTCGGACATACAGTGCCACCCCATCCCCTTTCCCGATACTTCTGTCTACTTGGAACAATTTAAAACCCTGTATGTGACATTCAGCAGGCATGTCCCGATTTTTCATATTGAACCACGTCTCAGTTATGGCAAATACTACATCAATGTTACCTGCACTAGCAACTAATCTCAACTCGTCCATCTTATTCCTAGCACTACGATTATTTCTGTAATACATGTATATGTTTAAAGACCCTCCTTTCTCTTTACCCTTCCTGCTCCTTTCTCTTTTCTGACGGGATCATGACACAAATGTTAAAAGCAGGGGGGGGATATAGTGTTGGAGTGCTTGGTATTTTTGTTTAATAAATGTATGAAAGAGGGGAAGGTATCTAGGGACTGGCAGAGAGTATGTATAATTCCTTTATATAAAGGAAAGGGGGACAAAAAAGATTGTAAAAATTATAGAGGAATAAGTTTACTGAGTTTTTTTTTTTTTTTTTTTTTTTTTCTCCTCTCTCTCTCTCTCTCTCTCTCAACAAGTCGGCCGTTTTCACCGAGGCAGGGTGACCCAAAAAAGAAAGAAAATCCCCAAAAAGAAAATACTTTCATCATCATTCAACACTTTCACCACACTCACACATTATCACTGCTTTTGCAGAGGTGCTCAGAATACAACAGTTTAGAAGCATATACATATAAAGATACACAACATACCCCTCCAAACTGCCAGGAAAAGTGTATGGTAGGGTTGTTATTGAAAGAATTAGAGGTAAGACAGAAGTTAGGATTGCGGATGAGCAAGGAGGTTTCAGAGTGGGTAGGGGAAGTGTAGATCAAGTGTTTACATTGAAGCATATATGTGAACAGTATTTAGATAAAGGTAGGGAAGTTTTTATTGCATTTATGGATTTAGAAAAGGCATATGATATGTAGGTAGTAGGTTGGTAGACAGCAACCACCCAGGGAAGTACTACTGTCCTGCCAGATGACTGTGAAACAGAAACCTGTAACTGTTTGGCATGATGGTAGGATTGCTGGTGTCTTTTTCTGTCTCATAAACACGCTAGATAACAGGGATATCTTGCTACTCCAACTTACACTTTGGTCACACTTCACAGACATGCACATGCATATATATATACATACATCTATTTTTTTCTCCTTTTTCTACATAGCTCTTGTTCTTCTTTATTTCTTCTATTGTCCATGGGGAAGTGGAAAAGAATCTTTCCTCCGTAAGCCATGCGTGTCGTATGAGGCGACTAAAATGCTGGGAGCAATGGGCTAGTAACCCCTTCTCCTGTAGACATTTACTCAAAAAGAGAAGAAGAAAAACTTTATAAAACTGGGATGCTTGAATGTGCGTGGATGTAGTGCAGATGACAAGAAACAGATGATTGCTGATGTTATGAATGAAAAGAAGTTGGATGTCCTGGCCCTAAGCGAAACAAAGCTGAAGGGGGTAGGGGAGTTTCGGTGGGGGGAAATAAATGGGATTAAATCTGGAGTATCTGAGAGAGTTAGAGCAAAGGAAGGGGTAGCAGTAATGTTGAATGATCAGTTATGGAAGGAGAAAAGAGAATATGAATGTGTAAATGCAAGAATTATGTGGATTAAAGTAAAGAGGGGAATGTATGAGAGTATAGTTTTACCAACGCTCTTATATGGGTGTGAAGCATGGGTGATGAATGTTGCAGCGAGGAGAAGGCTGGAGGCAGTGGAGATGTCATGTCTGAGAGCAATGTGTGGTGTGAATATAATGCAGAGAATTCGTAGTTTGGAAGTTAGGAGGAGGTGCGGGATTACCAAAACTGTTGTCCAGAGGGCTGAGGAAGGGTTGTTGAGGTGGTTCGGACATGTAGAGAGAATGGAGCGAAACAGAATGACTTCAAGAGTGTATCAGTCTGTAGTGGAAGGAAGGCGGGGTAAGGGTGGGCCTAGGAAAGGTTGGAGGGAAAGGGTAAAGGAGGTTTTGTGTGCGAGGGGCTTGGAGGCAGTGGAGATGTCATGTCTGAGGGCAATGTGTGGTGTGAATATAATGCAGAGAATTCGTAGTTTGGAAGTTAGGAGGAGGTGCGGGATTACCAAACCTGCTGTCCAGAGAGCTGAGGAAGGGTTGTTGAGGTGGTTCGGACATGTAGAGACAATGGAGCGAAACAGAATGACTTCAAGAGTGTATCAGTCTGTAGTAGAAGGAAGGCGGGGTAGGGGTCGGCCTAGGAAAGGTTGGAGGGAGGGGGTAAAGGAAGTTTTGTGTGCGAGGGGCTTGGACTTCCAGCAGGCGTGTGTGAGCGTGTTTGATAGGAGTGAATGGAGACGAATGGTTTTTAATACTTGACATGCTGTTGGAGTGTGAGCAAAGTAACATTTATGAAGGGGTTCAGGGAAACCGGCAGGCCGGACTTGAGTCCTGGAGATGGGAAGTACAGTGTCTGCACTCTGAAGGAGGGGTGTTAATGTTGCAGTTTAAAAACTGTAGTGTAAAGCACCCTTCTGGCAAGACAGTGATGGAGTGAATGATGGTGAAAGTTTTTCTTTTTCGGGCCACCCTGCCTTGGTGGGAATCGGCCAGTGTGATAATAAAAAATAATAATAATAATAATATGATAGAGTGGATAGGGGAGCAATGTGGCAGATGTTGGAAGTACATGGAATAGGTGGTAAGTTACTAAATGCTGTAAAGAGTTATTATGAGGATAGTGAGGCTCAAGTTAGGGTGTGTAGAAGAGAGGGAGATTACTTCCCGGTAAAAGTAGGTCTTAGACAGGGATGTGAAATGTCACCATGGTTGTTTTATATATTTATAGATGGGGTT